GCATGCACGAGGTCGTCGAGGTCGGCACCGGCGGCTGGGTGCACGGCCCCGTGGTCGGCATCCCCGGGTCGGACGACTCGGGCGGCCACCGCCGGCTGCAGGAGATGGGCGCCCCGGAGGTGGGCGCGCTGGCGGAGAAGGCGCCGCGCGGGGGAGGAGGAGGAGGAGGAGGAGGAGGAGGAGGAGAGGAGGAGGAGGAGGAGGAGGAGGAGGAGGAGGAGGAGGAGGGAGGAGGAGGAGGAGGAGGAGGAGGAGGAGGAGGAGGAGGAGGAGGAGGAGGAGGAGGAGGAGGAGGAGGAGGAGGAGGAGGAGGAGGAGGAGGAGGAGGAGGAGGAGGAGGAGGAGGAGGAGGAGGAGAGGAGGAGGAGGGAGGAGGAGAGGAGGGAAGGAGGGAGGGAGGGAGGCGGGAGGAGGGAGGAGGGAGGGGGATGATGATGCTGATGATGATGATGATGATGATGATGATGATGATGATGATGATGATGATGATGATGATGATGATGATGATGATTATGATTATGATGATGATGATGATGATGATGATGGTGATGATGATGATGATGATGATGATGATGATGATGATGATGATGATGATGATGATGATGATGATGATGCTGATGCTGATGATGATGATGATGATGATGATGATGATGATGATGATGGTGATGATGATGATGATGGCGACGAGCCCGACGAGCCGCTCGATCACGTCTCGAGCAGCGCCGATCGATCGCTGCGTCGGGCACGTCCCGGGCACGTCCCTCTACAGGAGGAATGTTCCAAGATAGTCAAAGATGGTCTGGGGACGGTGTTCTGCTTTGGTATGTCGTTTTTGAATATGTTCTGTATCTTGAACTGTTCGTCCAGAATCCGCCTGTAGGGGGGCACGCCCGACCTAAATCGATCGCCATGGGGGAAGCGGGTCCTGAGGTTGTTCGCTGTTTTCAAGCTCTCGGGGTCCTCCGAGGGGCCCCAGGTCTGTCAGAAAACGACTCGGGATGAAGGCCTCGTCCTGGAGAAAGGCCCTGGGGTCCAGGACCCGTTCCCTCCAGGGCCCGATTCCCCCATGCCAAATCCAGGCCTCCCACCGGGGTCGAAGGATCGCGATGCATCGATGTGGAGCTCGATTTTCTCCACGCCGACGGCGCCAGTGCATCGTCGACGTCGCCCATGCATCGCCGATGCATCGGCGATACATCGTCGGTGTATCGGCGATGCGACGCGATCCTTCGGCCCCATGTACTTGAACACCATGTAGGAGGACTATAGCCCAGGGGTGTCATCACTAGGGGGTTACCACCTCCTTGTTCAACTCTAGGATCCAGGATGAGGGTCCAGGATTGATCCGGAGGTTCTGTATGTCTCGGGGCGTCTCTGAGAGTCCCTGGGGGGCTCTGGTGGATCCAGGGGGGCCCGTTTCCTCGAGGATGTGGCGACCCCCCAGTGGTGACCCCCTCCCCTGGTATTGCCTGGGGCCCAGAGGTTCGATCGACTCGGGCCTCTGGCGACGTGCTTTCTTCTCAATCGCTGTGTTTCCACTGCTGGTGTTGGCTGCCAGTGCTTTTTCTTCAGCCCTTGGATGCTTTTCGGCGGCTGCGCCTCGTCGAGAGCGCTCCAGGGGTGTCCCGATCGCCCCGGGCGGCCGCCGGAGGCTGGAGCCCTGACCCGAAGAGGCCGAAGGACACATGTTCTAATGCCAGCGCAAGAGGAGCCCACACTGGCGGAGAGCAGCAGAGGAGGCGACAGCCGAAGAGACGGCACGGCGGGGGGGGAGGGCGCGGGGAGCATGGCAGCGGGGGGGCGGACGCGCCGGCCGCGCGTCTGGGTCTGGGCCCTCAGACGGCCACATGGGGCTCGACCTCAGCCGGGCCCAGCTGGGCCCAGCCGGGCCTCAGGCCCCACCGGCCAGCCTGCGCGGAGGGCGGCGCCCGCGCCGCGCACGCTCGGCCGCCGCCAGCACCCGCTCGATGACCCGCCGGCGACCCTCTGCGTCGGGGATCGCCGTGGCGGCCTCCAGAAGAGGGGGGCCTCGCCTCGCGGAAGCCCCGCCCGCGCGTGGCGATCCACGGCGCCGGCGCGAGCGCTCGAGCCGCCCCCCGGCCCGACGCATCCACGCCCTCGCGCAGCGTCTGCAGGAGCAGCTGCATGGACACTCCGCCAGCACATCCAGCCCGTCGCCCTCCGCCCGCGAGGGGGGGGGGCCGGATCCAGCGCGTCCGCGCCGCCAGCGCTGGCGCCTCCCTGAGGCGGGGTCTCCGCCTCAGGGCCCGTCGCCACGACCCGCGCCGTGGGGAGGGCGGGAGGCTGCGCCGCCCCCTCGTGGGGGCTGGCCTGCCGTGCAACCGTCGCCCACAACCCAATGGGGAGGGCCGGAGGCAGCACCGCATCCGCGCGGGAGCTGGCCTGCTGCCCGAGGCGACCCCGCCGCCTCCCCGCCAGCCGGGCTGCAGGCAGCTTGTCCTGCGAGAGCGCAGCCCAGCAGCGCCCTGCGAGGCGCCGCTGCGCGCCTGGCGCTGGCGCGGCGGCGTGGCCACCGCGGCCGCGGTCCCTGGCCAGGACCGCGGTGTCCAGCCGCCGTCCAACGCGTCGTGCTCGCCTCGATGGCGTGGTCGTTGGTGTCCCCGGGGGATGGTGGCCTCACCGTTGCTGCAGCCTGCGCTGCAGCTGGCAGGGCCGCCGGGCGGCAGGCGGCCGCCGGAGCCGCTCAGAGTGTCCACTGGAGGAGAACCTGGCCCGCAGGCAGGTCCTGGGCAGTGAGCCCTTGCCAGCCCGCGGCCGCCACCAGCACCGCGCTGGGGGCGCCGCCTGCAGGTGCTGCTGCTTCCGCCTCCCGCGCTGCTGCAGACTCCTGCCTCCGCATCCTCGCTGGAGGATGGGCTGGGGCCGCCGTGGCGCTCGTGCCAGCGAGGGCGCCGCCAGGCGGCGCGTCTGGGGGTGCCCGAGCCCGGGCAACCGGGGGTGGGCGGCCGGTGCGACCGTCGCCGCTCTCCCGCCAGCTTCCCCCGTCCCCTCCGCCTCGCCGCTGTCGTCCGAGTGCTCGTCGTAGTGCTCGCTCTCAGCCCAGGCCAGCGAGCCATGCGGGAGCGTCTGGCCTCCGCCCTGGCAGGGCTCCGAGGCGGGCGCCAAGAGCGCACGGCCTCGGTGCGGCGCGTCCCGCGCGTTCACCGCCGGACCCTGGCTCCTGGCCGCGTTCTCCTCCCGCGCTGGCCGCCCGCCAGCGCGCGGGAGGCCGCGGCGGCGCCCGCGGCGGCGGCTGCGGCTGCGGCGGCTGCGCGCCTGCCGCCGGTGCGAGCGGTGGCGCCTCGCCCCCGGGCCCCGGCCGCGTCCCCGTGAGCGCGCCTGCGCTGCTGCAGGAGCTCCGCCGGGAGCTCTGCGGCCGCGTCGCGCGCGCCTCCGCCCGCGCCCCCCTGCGTCGGCGCAATGCCTCCCGGCGGTCGCCCACGCGGTCACCTGCGGAGTGGCTTCGAGAGCCGCCGCCTCGGCGCCCTCGTGTGCGGCGGCGGCGGCGGCGCCGCAGCCCCGCGCGCTCGGGGCCGGCGCCACGGAGGGCGGCCCGGCGCAGGGGGGCGCAGAGCTGCCATCCCCACCCCGCGGTGGGAGGCAGGGCGAGCACATGCACGCGTGTCCGTGCGGCGCCCACGGCATGCCGCCGGCGCGGCCGCCGAACTGCTGCAAGGCCCTCGAGTCCACTACCGGGGCACGTTCGCACGTTCCCACCCTCCTTCGGGGGTTGGGAACTCTTGAGCCCAAATGGCTACAGACCCGAAAGCCGCACGAAGCACATATACCTCGGACGATGTGGCTTTGGTTCCATCGCGGCGACCTTTCCCCGTTTCGGCTCTCTGGTCCCATTGGGATCGTCAAAGCCTGCTCCGGGATGCAGGACTGCTCCCAGAGAAGTGGTCGGGAGCCCATGGGCCGCGGGTTGAAACAGAAATAGTCAGACCGGCGAGTGTCAGGGGACGTGGTGTATCATTCATGGCGACATGCTTCAGGAGGGGAAAAAGCACACAGACACAATGAATCGTCGATTCCCCCGAAAATAGGGGAAAAAATGGGAAGGGGGGGGGGAAGACAGGGACCCAGAACACATGGAAGCATAGGGGGAATCCCTCTTTGCTTGTGTGCATCTGTTTGTGTGTCCCAGGGCCCCATTCGGAGGAGGAGGAGGAAGAGGTGGAGGAGGAGGAGGAGGAGGAGGAGGAGGAGGAGGAGGAGGAGGAGGAGGAGGAGGAGGGGGAGGCATCCTTCCTGGCGAGATGTTGCTTTGGCGTTGTCGACCTCCTGGAGGCCCTCGGCGGGCCTGCCTGCGGGGCCCGTGGAGGAGCGGCCTGCGGGGCGGGGCGGGGCAGAGCGCCAGCTCTGGTGGACAGGGCCGGGATCTACGGGGGGCCCGAATCGTTCGGGGGAGCGTAAGACCCGGGTTTGCCAGGACTCTCGGGCTGGGCGAAAGGGGGGGATTGGGAAAGGGGGGTTATGAAATTTGCTGCATGCAGCTGGTTTCGGCCCCACCGAGGGGCCCATTCCTCGATACATGGTCGCCTCCGGCGCCGGGAGGCGCCGGGAAAATCAGCTACGCGAGCTGATTCTCAACCCCCCCCTTTGCTATCCCCCCCTTTCGCCCGACCCGATAAGACCCGGGTTTGCCAGGACTCGGGTTGGCCATCGTTTTTTGACGACCGCGACTCGGATCTTGACGAGCAGGAGTTTCGTGGGATGTCTGCAGCGGGAGGCCTCGTCAAAATGCAGGCTCGGCCTCGTCATTTTTTCGACGACCTCGTCGGGGATTTCCGAGTCCCCTGTACCCGGGTCTTACGCCTCCCTGAATCGTGAACATCGAGACTCTGGAGGGAAAACAACACACAGACACAATTCATCGTCGATCCCCCCGAAAGTATGGGAAAATATACGGGAAGTGGGGGGGAAGACGAAAATCAAAAAAATATTGAAAAATATGGGGAATCATTTTATTTGTGTGTATTTATTTGTGTGTCCCAGGGCCCCTTCAGAGACGTCGTCGGATGTCTGGGCTTCGATCCATCCTCCTGGCCAGGCCCGGAGGTTCCATCGAGGGTCGACATGTTTGAGCGTGTTTCCTTCTTGCTTGGGGCATAGCGGGTAGTTTAGCTCCCGGCACCCC